GATCGATCGCTCGGCGCTCGGCTGCCGATCGATTAGATCGGTGATCAGCTACTCATGCCTGCCGATCGATTAGCTCGGCGATCGATTGCTCATGCCTGGGCAGGCATGAGCAATCGATCGCCGAGCTAATCGATCGGCAGGCATTAGCAATCGACCGCCGATGTCATCGATCGGCAGGCATGAGCAATCGATCGCCGAGCTAATCGATCGGCAGGCATTAGCAATCGACCGCCGATGTCATCGATCGGCAGGCATGAGCAATCGATCGCCGAGCTAATCGATCGGCAGGCATGAGCAATCGATCGCCGATGTCATCGATCGGCAGGCATTAGCAATCGAGCGCCGATCTAATCGATCGGCAGGCATTGGCAGCCGAGCGCCGAGCGATCGATCGAGGCGGGCTCAGTGGAGCCCAGAGCGATGGATCAGGCAGGGAGGAGCAATCGCAATCATCGATCGATCGCGCTCACCCGGCCACACCCAGGGACGCTTCCCCGCCCCCGGCGCCTTTAAGGCCGCCGAGTGCCGCTGCTTTTCCTGCTTCTCCTCCTTTTCCTTCTCCTTCGCTCCTCTTTTTTCCCCATTTTTACACTTTTTTCCTCATTTTTCCTTCCCCCATTTTCCCCTATTTTTTCCCTATTTCCCCCCATTTTCTCCCCCTTTTTCCTCCGTTTTTGGAGGAATTTTCAGGGCTTCTCGGGATGGTTTTTGCGGAGATTTCAGAGATTTTTTGGAGCATTTCCGGGCGATTGTTTTGAGGGTTTCCGGCGCTTTGGAGCGATTTCCAGGTGTGTTGTGAACGCTGCTCCGCAGGATGTGTGGGTGTTTGGGGGATTTGCGGGGGTGAATTGGGGGCGGCTGTGTCTCCGTGGCGGCGCTGAGCGGTGTGTGAAGGCGCGGCGCGCAGCGGGGATGGCGCGGAGCTGCGGGCGGCAGCAGCGGCGCCGATGTGGCGATGGCGGGGCGCTCGGGGCGGGCCGGGGCTCGCACGCTCGGATCTGTTTTTCACCGCACCCAGGTCCCCCGTGGTGGGGGTGCACCGTGCCCGGAGGCACTGCAATACCGGGACGATGCGCGGAGCGGAGGGAGCAAGCTCCGGGTCGAACTCCCGAGCCCAAAAATCCGTTTAATATGAAGTCCTCTCATCGAGGACGTATCAGATATTAAACTGATAAGAACAGATACTACACTTGATCTTAGCCAAAAGGCCGAGAAGCGATGCCGACTGTTGCCGCGCCCCGCACCCAGCGCCGCTCGCCCCGCTCACACATCACGGTCACTCCCGCGCCGCCCTCCGGCCCTTCCTGAACCGTTCCCGGTGCTTTTCTGCTTCTAATCCCGCACTTCCCGTTCGCGTTCCCTGTGATCGAACTCCCCTAAACCCCGAAATTCCCGAAGAAATATCTTCCCGGCATGCACCTCGCCCTGACGCTACCGCTATTTTGCATAACCCCGCCTCCCACGCCGGCAGCGCGCGTAGTTTCAAGTGCGACAGAGCAGCCCTGGGAGACCTGGAAAAATCCGCGATTTTCAGAGTCCAAAGTCGCGATTTTTGGGGTCCTGCCTGCCCCTGGTGTGACCAGCGAGGATGAGGAGGGGGCGGGTCCTGCTGGGGGCCGCGCTGGGAAGTGTTACCTGTGCACACCTGGCCTGCTGTGTCCTTGGGGAGAAAGGAGGGTCCTGGGCGTCCCTCAAGGGGCGATGATGGGAGCTGGGGGAGCACCTGGGGGGTACCTGGGGGTCACCTGAGGGCACCCGGGGGGATCTGGGGGTACCTGGGGGTCACCCAGGGTTACCTGGGGGCTCCTGGGCCTGGAGCGCTGCTGAAGAAGGCGCTGAGGGAGCAGGGGAGCGCTTGGGCTCCTTTCCTGTCCCATTTCACGCTCCCAGTTCGCTCCGCTCCATCCCAGTTCGTCCCCAGTCCCTCCCCAACAGATCCTTGCGAATGCCAGGAAAAAGCTGGAAGTGAGAGAAGAACGAGTGGAAATACAAGCACAAAACCTTCTTTTCTTAATTGTCTGTTTAAATGGAGGGGGGAACTTTCTTCACCAGCGATTCTCAGACTGCCAATCACCCCTCTTTCATCATTTTGCCTGCTCTACTTAACGGCAAACCGCCATTTCCCGTCATTTTTGGTTTAAAGATGCCAAAAGCGCGGAGCCCTCGTGCGAGGCGCGGCGCTGACAGAGGCTCCGAGGCTGCCCGGGACCCTCCCGGCCTTCACGGAGGCTCCCGGGCCTTCCCCGCCGCCCTCACGGGCGCCGCCACCGCTCCCTGAGGGAGGCGGCCGCCATGATAGGAAGGGGCGTGGTCTAGTGTTTGGTCACGCCTATTGTGGGCGGGGCTTTCGCGTTCCCGGAAGCGGCGCTGAACCGGAAGCGGCGCGGGCGCTGCCCCGGAAGTGGCGGGCGCTGCCCCGGAAGCGGCGCGGGGCTGGCAGGGCGGCGATGGCGGCGGAGGAGCCTCAGCAGCCGCAGCCGGAGCCGCTGGGCGGCAGCGATGCCGATGGTACCGATGGAGCCCCCTCACACGTCCCCATCCCGCCACCCTCGGGATGGCGTCCCCCGGTTCCCTCACGCGCCGCGGCCCCGCTTCTCCCGGGAGAGCCTCGATCCTCTCGGCAGCCCCCGGACCGCCCCCGGTTCTCTGAACCCACCGACCAAAATCCTCCAAAACCGCCCCGATCCCTCCCCGCTCCCCTCGGCCTCCCCCCCCCAGCACCCTCCCGTGGGGACCCCCGAGCCCCCAGACCCTCCCGGTGGGGCTCGGGACCCCCCGGTGACCCCCGGTGTCCCCCCCAGGCGTGAACTGCTTGGCCTACGACGAGGCGATCATGGCGCAGCAGGACCGGATCCAGCAGGAGGTGGGGAACACCCCCCGCCCCAAATTCCCCTCAAATCCCCCCCGGGCCCGCCCCCCGCGGGGTCCCCAGGCCGTGACCCCCGGTCCGCCCCCCGCAGATCGCGGTGCAGAACCCGCTGGTGTCGGAGCGCCTGGAGCTGTCCGAGCTCTACAAGGAGTACGCGGAGGATGACCACGTGTACCAGGAGAAGATCAAGGTGCGGCACTGGGACGGACTGGGATGGACTGGGGGGACACTGGGACACCAGCAGGGGACACGAGACAGCGCTGGGACATACTGGAAACAGCACCGGGGTGGGACTGGGAGCTGCTCTGGGACACTGGGACGAGGCTGGGGACGGCACCAGTATAGAACTGGGAGGCGCTGGGACACCAGGCTGGGGTTGGCTGCAGCTGGGCTGTCCCCGGGGCTGTCCCCACAGTGTCCCCACGGTGTCCCCACGGTGTCCCCTGTCCCCAGGACCTGCTGCAGAAATATTCCTACATCCGGAAGACGCGGCCGGACGGGAATTGTTTCTACCGCGCCTTCGGCTTCGCGCACCTGGAGGCGCTGCTGGAGGACGGGCAGGAGCTGCAGCGGTGGGCCCCGAAAACACCCCGGGAACCCCCCGAAAACAGACCTGGGAATCCCAAAAATACCCCCTGGGGATCCCAAAAATACCCCAGGACCCCAAAACAGCCCCTGAAACCCCCCAAAAACAGCCCTGGAGACCCTCAAAACACTCAGAGACCCCCAAACACCTGAAGACCTCCAAAACACCCTGAGAGCCCCCAAAACCCTCAGAGCGTCTCCAAAACCTCCAGAAACTCCCTAAAACACGCTGAGAGCTCTAAACACCCCCAGGGAGCTCCCAAAGCCCCCCGGGAGTCACCCCCCGGATCCCCCCGAGCGCCCTCCCGGCCCCCCATGGATGTCGGGGAGTCCCTTTGGGACCCCCCCCGAGCCCCCCCCGTGTCCCCCCAGGTTCAAGGAGGTGTCGGCGCGGAGCAAAGAGGAGCTGGTGGCGCAGGGGTTCACCGAGTTCACCATCGAGGACTTCCACAACACGGTGGGGACACCTGGGGGACACCTGGGGGGGGACACGGAGGGGACACGGGTGTGTGTGTAGGTGTGACACAGGTGTCACACACACCTGACCAGGTGTGTCCCCGCAGCTGATGGAGCTGATCGAGCGCGTGGAGCGCCGGGTGCCGCTGCCGGAGCTGCTGGCAGCGTTTAACGAGCCGGCCACCTCGGATTACCTGGTGGTTTACCTGCGGCTGCTCACCTCGGGCTGCCTGCAGCGCCACCGGCGCTTCTTCGAGCAGTTCCTCGAGGGGGGGCGCAGCATCAAGGAGTTCTGCCAGCAGGTATGGGCACCTGGGACACCTGGGGTACCATACCTGGGGTACCATACCTGGGGCACCTGGGGTACCATACCTGGGGCACTTGGAACACCTGGGGCACCATACCTGGGGTACCTGGGGTACCATACCTGGGGTACCTGGGGCACCTGGGGTACCATACCTGGGGTACCATACCTGGAACACCTGGAACACCTGGGGTACCATACCTGGGGCAACTGGGGCACCTGGGGTACCATACCTGGGGTACCATACCTGGGGTACCATACCTGGAACACCTGGCAGCTCTGCCAGCAGGTACAGGGTGGGCACAGCACACACGACAGGTGTGTCACCACCCGTGGGGCTGGCCCGGTGCCCTGCAGGACCCCGATGGGGCAGGGATGGAGCTCGTGCTGCCCCCCCCCGGACCCGTGCCAGGTGTCACACACCTGTCCGTGTGTCCGTGTGTCCGGCAGGAGGTGGAGCCCATGTGCAAGGAGAGTGACCACATCCACATCATCGCGCTGGCGCGGGCGCTGCACGTCTCCATCCTGGTGGAGTACATGGACCGGGGCGAGGGCGGCGCCACCAACCCGCACGTGTTCCCCGAGGGCTCCCAGCCCCGCGTCTGCCTCCTCTACCGCCCCGGCCACTACGACATCCTCTACAAGTGACCCCCAGACCGACCCCCAGCTCCGGGGGTCCCCCCAAAACCCCCCCGGCCCCGCTGCGGCCGCGCCTCCCCCCCACCCCCCCCCCAAGCCCACCCCGCTCCTGTCCCAGCGCTCCCAATAAAGAAATGGCCCCGAGGCATGAGCGTGTTTATTTGGGGAGGGGGAGGTTTGGGGAGGGAGGGGAGGGGGTTTGGACACTCTTGGGGGGCAGTTTGGGGTGGGGAGGGGGAGTTTGGGAAGGGAGGGGAAGGGG